CTTTCCCTATTTCATCTGTATCAAGAACAGTGTCCTCATCCGTTACTTCTATCCCATTCCTATTAGTATCTACTTCTGTCACACCGCCAGATGTAGCCGTGACGTGCTGAGAAACAATAATAGAGGTGGCATCATCAGCTGATGCAACTTTTTGAGGTTGATGTGTCATATCATTGATCAGCAAAACCTGTCAAAATGAAAGTGACATCATAAGCCTTCGACAAGATGTCCTGGCAAAAACCCATCCTTCTCTCTTCATTACAAACTCCTTTCTTTATGATACACGTGCTTTACGTTTTTTTTTCAAACTGCATCTTTCCCATCAGTCTGCAGTGCAAGGTCTTTAGATCACTGGTCCAGCAAATGCATATATCTAGAACAACAAGCAGAATATACAGCGGGCCTACATTTTCAATCAGAGTTCTGAGCAATTGACAACACTACACTCAAGATGTCGCTTGACCAACAAATCCAATGAGCAAACCCAACAGAAACTAGGATCAGAATTCAGAAGTAAGGTAACTTAAACATACCTTTGCACGACGATGTTTCCTATGTATATCATTTGCTTTTGCGTCTGAATCAGAACTTATGTAATCCAGGAGATCTGATACACTGCAAGAAAGGTTGGACTTAGGTGCAAATGAAATAATTACCATGTCAGAAAACACGCTTTGGAAATTTCCATTTTAATACCTAAGGTGCCCTTTGCTCGCAATAGAAGCATCAGGTTTTGGGATTCCATTCCGTGCTGCTTCTTGCTGCTCGATGGCTCTTGATTCAAAATATTCAAGCCACGCAGCAGCATCCTGCAAGAGACAAAGAATACAACAGAACTTATCAGGTCTGGGCATCTCCAGCATTTCAGCAAGCCACTTCCCCAGTCAGTATACATTATATTCGGCTAAGTTTCATGCACAGTAATGCTCAGCACGACTGAAACTTTTGGGTCAGAAACCAAGTAAAAAAATTCATCTGTATGAACTGCGAAATTTCAACACGTGCAACATACTCACGGCTAGGAGTGAGTTATCACCTGCGTACGGAGGTCATCTGGACCCAGTTTTGCTGCAAGTATCTTAAGTGTAGTTTGCTCGTGTTGCACGCTCAAGGAATATGCTTCCATGAGAGAGAGGGCCACAGCTATTGCATGATAGCTAGCAGCAGTCTGTCAAGTGAAACGATGGTTAGCTTTAGAGTGGGGGAACAGGAGGACAGAAAGATGAGAGAAAACCTGAATGTGATCAGCTCCAAGCAATCTTTGGTTGCATTTTAGAGCTTCATGCAAGTATCTTAGAGCCAGATGGACATTCCCAACCCCTTCTTCCATCATAGCCACATTTATATATGTAGCAGCAGTATTTGGGTGCGATAACCCACAAGTGAAATGGAGAAGGAATAAAGCACGGTTCACGTACCTGTGAACATATGCCAAAGGGGAAAGGATGTTAAAGTGGAAAAATAAAATCTACATGGGGAAAATGAGAGGAAAGGAAGAGCAAGAATCATTCCACGGCAGCAAGCCAAAGGAAATGAAAAAGCTGGAGCAAAATGCTTTCATTCGAATCAATGATCAGCAAAACTGATAAGAAATTGAATACCACATACTTCAGAGCCAATTCAATGTGCTGAAGGCGATAATAAAATACAGAGAGATCCCCATAGCTTTTCATAGTGTCAGGATGGTCAAGCCCAAGTTCCCTCTCATTGATATCCAGAGCCTTCTGCTGAAATATGGTTGCCTGATGAAGAAATAGTGAAAACGTCATATATAAAGGGGCTTGTCAAGAAGTTCTTCTAGAATAATTCGAACATATGGTAATGTCCATGCATTTTGACAGATAAACTCTGTTACTAGTCTTTATAATCAAACGTATCGTTTCTGGATGAGAGAGAGAGAGAGACAGTAATGGTACCTGGTTAAAATCGCCAGTGTGGTACAGGACAACTGCAAGAAGGCTGTAAGCACTGGCGGTAATTCTATGGTAAGGTCCACAGACAGCAATCATTTTGACTAGTGCCTAAGAGATGCAAGAAGTCAATATCTACCGACCATGAAAGCAGTAGCTAAAAACATGAAAGCAGTAGCTAAAAACATGAAGTGGATATCAAACAAGTTGGCACCTTTGTTCCATAATTAACAGCATCGTCTAATTTTCCTTTGTCAAGGGCAAGCTTTGATGACTCCAACAATGTCCTTCCATCAGAGGAAGCACATACTGCACGCTGTTTGACATGCCAAATAAAAATTACTAAATATTATATCTAGCATTACGGCACACCTATGAAACAAGCTCCAAGCAGACATTGATTAACAGAACAGAATGCGGTCTGACTTGCGGCATAGCTAAAATGTAGATCAGGAAGTTCAGAGAGAGAGAGAGAGAGAGAAACCTTGCAGACGGGAACCAAACCAATAATGTCAGAGCTCTTAAAGGGATATGGAGAATCAAAATCATAGTCTCTTGTAACCAGTTCAAGACCAACCTGTGGTAAAATTTATCAGAAAATAATAATCATTATGAAACCAGCATCTTGTACAGTCTAAGTAAGGTACCTTTTGGCAAAGTCCTCGGAGGATAGAAAATTTTTTCAAACGTTCGAAGTCTTCTTTCTCTGTCCAATCAAATTTTGAGAAAACAAATTTCTGTAGCCACTCTAATTTGAGACAATAATCTTTGTTGGAGCTCTTGTCACTCTCGTCCATCCCAGGGTGTCCAAACATAAAATTTAATGCCGAAGCTAATGCCGTGGATAAGGCTGCCACAGTATTGACAGATGCAATAACCGCCCTAAGCAGATGCTTGAAAGCTCTTGTAATCATCTCATGAATACAAAGGGACTGTATATGAGGAAGCTTCTCAGCAAGTTTAGCCTGGTTTATACACATGGTGAAACAGAATATACCCATTAATATGCTCTGTCCAACGTTATTTCTGAACTCAACAAATGTACTGAAGTTGGCAGACCAGTTACCGTAGTTGTAGTACATTGAAATAATGAACACCAGGTGACAGATTCTACATTATCGGGTTATTTTGGACTTTTACTATTGTTGGTTTAATTTTGTATTTTGGACTGGACATTAGGACATAAATTGGTCAGGCCTAGGGTTCGCTTATGGCCATAAGGTTAGCGAGTTTGGCCGCCTTAGGGTTTGTAGCCACCTAGGTGGCGGCTCTCCTCTATAATTTGAATTCGAGTCAGGCTAGGGGGTAAACGACTGGAAGACCAGCCTTGTCGAAATTCCGGAGGGAAGAGACTTTCAGGTTTGGGGTGTGTTATAACCATACCTGATATTTGTTCCATCCTTCAGGGATTTCACAGCTTTGAACACAAAGAGCTTGCAGACATTGGATTTCTTGGCAACTTGGAAGGTGGAAAAGAAAATGTGGGGACAAGTTGTACAGACCTGAAGTTCTGGTCCCATTCTCATACCATTGGTGAAATAAGAGGGGGTGGAATAAGGCTTGATCCAAATAAGAAAGACATGCATGCAAATGCACCCTAGGTCATCTCTCAAGGCTTTTCTGGACGTGATAATCAAGACAGGAGTACACATTGGAGGTGTTCAAAGGAGACTATCAAGCTTCGTTTTCCGATTTCCAACTTGAGAACAAAGTGAATTTTGGGAGGTTAATATTTGATAGACTCCTAGATTGTTAGTTGATTGTTATTTTGGTTTTTCGTTTTTTGTTGGTTTATTTTTGTATTTGGACTGTCAGTTTATTTTTGAATTTGGACAGGGAAGTTAGGAAACAAATGGCCTAAAGCCCGTTTAAGGGCCCTAGGATCAGCGAGTTTGGTTGGCCACTTTGGCCATCCGCATTAAGTTTTGTAGCTGACTAGGCGGCAGCTCTCCTCTATAAAAGGAGTCTTGGTTTAGAATAAAGTATAAGAAAAGGTGATCAACTTAGGAGATTTAACGAACAATCCATAGAACCCTAGGTTCTATCACAAGGTTACAGGGAACAGAGACCATTAACAAGATCACGAGAGAGAAAGAAATTCTCACCACGTGTCCTAGAGAACGCATCTGGAGTCCTCTTGTATGCATGAAGTCAGTCATTGTCCGACCATCAACTGGTGAAAGCTCCAGTGAACCAAAGTCCGTAACCTGATAACTCGTGAGAACATGTCATTGACATTATAGTAAAAAAATTCAGAATTTCAATTTCTCTGCAAATAAAACACATACCAGCTTTGGCAGGGCAATTTCATCATGATATCTGTATGCCATCTCTATAAGCTCATCTTTTGACTGTATCATGAAATAAATTCAAGTTTCAGCATCTCTATCAAACAATCAGCAAATAACAATATATAACAAAATGGATAAGACATACACCATAAAGAGCTTAGAATTAAATACTCATGTTAAAAGTATATACTAGAGACAGGATAAAAATAAGAACCTTTAAATGAAGATCAGTTCCACTTTCTTTTAGGCGTGAGAAAGCTTCTTCAGAAATAAGTTCTTTCAGTTCAGTCTCAAAGTTTGATTCATGAATTCTTTGTTGCCCTAACTCGGCCTCCACATTCATCCTGCACAGTCTGCTATCTTCTTCCTTTTCCCCCTTGCTACTTGTCGTACCTGGTTTCTTATTTCTTATCTTTAGATCTTTGAATTGCATTCCCAAACCTTTAACTGAATATTCATTATCATCATCTACTGTAGGTGTTCCAGAAGCAGTCTCCATCACAGATTCTTTCTTCTGTAGATGCTGAATCCAACAGTAACCAAGTTCCCACCTAATGGGCCTTTCAGAAGCTATCGGTTTTTCTGATAACTTGGTCAAGTTTTCTTTAACCAACTCATGTACAAGACATCTGAAAGGCTCAATATCATTTGAATCAATTTGTGGCGGCTGGTCCCCTCCAGCTGTTCCAATACCATATGACTTGTGAAGCAGAATCCTTTGGCTGCAATAAATTTATCAACCAGAAGTGTATTGTGAAGGACAAGTTAATCGCATAGACATATTTACCCTTTCGTGAGGAAAGGGTACACAGATTATGACAAAACGAGTCTCTTTTGTTCACATTGGCTAAAACTTATACAGTCATTCTTTACTAATGAACTTTCAAATATTGAAGACAATAGTCAGGGATAACCAATCCAAAACAGTGAGAGAAGAGAGACCACGACAGAATAAAAATTTTGATGTAGCCAAGTATAATCTGCACAAATAAGTATATCATAGAGATCAGTTTGGGTAGTCACTAACCTGTTAATATTAAGAGCATTAGCTCCTCCATCAGGCAGATCATCGATCACAATATCAATAGAAACAGGCTCTCCGATATTAGTTTCACCACTAACTTTCACCACCGCGGTATATCCACATTGCCTTACAATAATTGTGCCCAAAGCGGCAGTGTCCTGGAGAAGCTTTTTAAGCTTTAGTATAGCCAGGTAAAGAGAATAAAAATAGAAAAATCTCAACCCATTGTGAAGCATCACAGTTCCATCTAAGTCACTAATCTAAAAACTATTTGAAGCGGTACTGATGAGAACAAGACTTATACTGCACAAAACAAGTTAATGCGATTGCATTTGTGCTTCAACCAGCAAAATATTCACCGAACGAAACAATTTCTTAGCAGAAAGAGTACGAACAAAGAATTCAGAGTCCAGACATCTATTATATCACTCGAGAAAAATGATAAACAATTGACATCTATTTATGGAGATAGCGTTAAAGACAAGGTCAAGAAATATTGATCATTGACTCAAAGGCCAATGTAGCATTTGCACATAGATTATGGAGCAAAAAAGAGAAACTCACTTACATGTATGATAACACTCTCATCAGCAGTTATCCCTTTAAGTAAACTCTTTTGAATATCTTCCTTGGACGATAGAGCATATTGTTCATCACAACAATTATCTTCAACCCCGGAGCCAATGCTGGCTATATCACGTTTCACAACAATAGACAAATCTCCAACATTTTCCTCGAGCAAGATAGAGCCTGCAGCAAAATTTCTTCTTCTGCCTGTTTGTTGATTAGCATCAACCACCTGCCGAATAGCTCTAACAGCTTTTAAAATTGAAACATCAGCAAATTGGCTGTGAAGCAAGAAAGCCTTCCTATCTCGGATAACTCTCTCCTCCTCGGTCCTGCAAGGAAGCCTGGCCAATATAGCAAACTCTGCAGCCCAAGGTCGAAGTTCATAGTTACCGCTTCTGCCCTGACCTCCACCATTCCCACCCCAGTTCTCGTCTTCTGTTGGTAGAGCAGGAAATGTAGAAGGAGATTCAGCAATTGACGGAGGGACAAGCCACGTATTTGCACGAAATCCATATGGAAGGTTGCCAAACTGGAAAGGAATAAAATCAAAATCCAAATTCTTGAGCTAGAACAGATTCCTAAAGACAATCATAAACAAATAAAAATAGTAGTAAACAAATTAACAGTCACCTTATTGCGCTCAGTGAAAGCTTTCATAAGGGATGCATATGCCTGCATGAACTCCCAAGACGAAAAAAATTGCAGTTAAACCGCGTGTTACAAAAAAAAATACAACTAAGGATAACAAGGTAACTTGCAAGAGAAAAACCACAGCTTAGATAGAACCCAATTGAAAGAGGAAATGGACAAATCTGGTGAAACAATCGCAGCGGCCCACCTTGGCAAAAGCATTGCTAATGTTCTGAAGCAAATCTACAAGGGAGTGGCTACGTGAGAGCAGCCGTCCAACAGCATAGAACCCTTTCACTGATGCTATCGCATTTATCGTCTTTCCATTGCAGATTTTAATCTGAATAAATAGAAATTTCAGCATTAACAATAGATGAGGATAATTTACCAATAAAATTGACAAGGAGAAATTTAATTGAAAATGGGAAGATATCAGCAATTATAACATATCTAGACAAAAGAATTTTCTGTAACGCACTCGTAGACCATCAACATATCACTGACGCCTAGAAAGACAGAAGAAGGAACATTATAACACCTGAAGTCCAAAATAGTCACCATCACCCATCTGCCCACAGTCCTTATCGTCAAGCTTCTTCACATCTGCGAGATCAAGAAAAAGGGGAAACGAATTTCAAAAGCACGGCCATGATTTCTACCAAATTTCGATTTAACTTTTCCCGCCAATCTTCGGCACTTTCCCGGCGATCAAGCAAGAGAACAAATCTAGGGAATGAACTCAACAGCAGAGGAAACGCTTCACTCACTGAGAATCGGCGAAGGAACGTGAGGGAGGGAGAAGAAGTCGTAGAAGTCGGAAAGCTTCGGAGTCGGATGGATAGCGACCATGTCCAGGCCCTCCGACACGGCGGCCGGAGCAGAAGGCTCCGACGAATTCCCACGCGGCTGCGGTTGATTCCCATCGGCGACGAGGGATTTCTTCGAGGATTTGGAATGGTCGCGCTTGAGCCTGCCGAACCTGGTGGTGCAGGCTACAATGTCCAGGAGCCTTCGTACGTGATCGACAGCCTGGCACTCCTTTTCGTAGTCCTCTGCAGCACAATGGCACTAATGTAAATAAACTAGAACTCTAAGGGCAATTCACGAAATGTTTTCAAAAGTGATTCCGGCCTGGGGGAGCGTTGTTAGTTGCAACATGCCATTGGAAAATATGTATCCCAATATTTTATAAATAAATAAAAGACGATGAGAACAAACGTGCGAGTTTCTGAATTTTACAAATTAAACAAATGACTGAATGAGTATGGGCACATGTACGTACACGATTAAACAATGGCTGACACCTCATGTACGTACACATGTATATTCCAAAAGCCACAGTACAAGTGACACACACATGCCAGTATTTGTAAAATGTAGATATTATGACGTGTGAATTTGGTTGATAATCGAATAATCGAACCAACTCAAATTGAATAACTTATAAGTATAATCGGACCGAATCCAATGTAAATTTCACTAAAACCGTACCAAATTTGAATTGAACCAATGGAAATGGAATTGGTCCGGTTAGATAAAAACAAGATAACCCGATTAAAAATATATTTAAAAAATTCTTTGAAAATTGAATACTTTTATCAATAAAAATCAAATTCGAATCAAACCAAATGGAATAATTTTTCTAAAACCAAAATAACTAAACCCACCCGAATATAATTGGACAGAAACCCATTAGTTTTGGTGGAGAGTTAAAAGGAAATGGAGAAAGAGTGAGTGACTGCAGGAATATATGTGAGAGAGAGAGAGAGAGAGAGAGAGAGAGAGAGAGAGAGAGAGCGCAAACCTTCAACCATGGAGAGGAAGCAAGGCTTGAGAGAAACAACCTCAACCTTGTCACTCAACCTTCGCCCTTTCACCTGCACATCACCACCACCCATCACTTACCCTCCTTTTCCTTTCTCTCTTTTATTTTTTTAAAAAAAAGGGTGACAGGCAAATATATATATATATGTATGTATATATATGATGGCATATTCCTGTTGGAAACATGCATATGGAAATCAGCAGAAGCACAACCTCATGGGAGAGAGAATAGTTGGTGAAATGGCAAGTCTCCACATGAGAAGCCAAGAGCCTTCTCACGTCAACGATCTTATCAGTAGAGACGCCCTGTCCCAAAAAAAACAGTGTGTAGAAATTGGATCAGTACAAACATGTATTATACATATAAAAAGCCCATATCAATGGCGATTGCATTATATGGAAATTTCTGCATCAGACCCTGAGCGTGACTTCCGATTCATAGGGAGTCAAGACGGTGACATCCACCAGACCCAGCACGACAGCTGCAAAGAGAGAGAAAGACCAGGAGAATCCCTTCAGAATCTCAGATTCACATTTACAAAAACCATGTATTATATGAAGATTTCATCATCATCATCATCATCATCGTCGCCCAATGGGCATGTAGAGACTCTCACATTTCTCTTCTCTCTTCTTCTTCTCCCCTTTCCCTCTGGTGGATTTGCCCTTGCTTGACCTCGGAGCCATCCCTTCGCAAAAACAACACCCCAACTGATCAGGAGAAATGATTTCGATTTCCACCGCAAAATTTTAAGAGTGAATATATAATTAGGTTTCAATTTCCAAGTGGCCATTTCAGGATATGAAGAGCCGCTTCTCGAAACGAGCGAACTCGATTGGCAACTTATTAATGACAAGAAGCAGCACAAGAGTGATCAATAGCAACCACAAAACATTGAACAGTGATTAGTATGAACCAGGAAGAAAAAAAAACAGAAGAGACAACCATCAAAGACAGACATGGACACAGAAAGAAGAGGAGCGTAAAGAAAAAAAAAACAGAGATCAGAATCCAGGAAACTCTAGTAAGAAAAATCAGAATCGGCGGAGAGCTTACCGGATGAAACAAAAGGTTTCAGAGGAAAACGATGAACAAACCAGAGACAGAGAGGGGGGTATGGGAATTATCGAAGGAGTATCTGGTGAAAAGAGGGGGGGGGGGGGGTCGACAGTT